CCGACTCAGCTCCGCCATTTCCGTTAGGGACAGTCTAACCTTTAGTGAATCAGTGTTTTCAAATCATCACGTGGTACGCTTAACGCCACCTGCAACGAAAATCGATTTGGTGATTCCAAATTAGAATATATGTCATCGCGGCAACAGATGATGTTTCCCTGCTGTTTTTTTTAATTTGAATCTAATTCCCATTCAAAATTAAACCATAAGTTTCCAAAACACTTACTGTGAGTGTGCTTCTGTGCGTGGGATGCTCAAATTCATCGCATCCGTACATGGTGGCAAGCAGTAAACGTGTGATCAACATAGTAAGTTTGCCAGATTTCCGACTGGTGGGGGACATTCGTTTGATAAACTGCACGCTTACGCATGCGTCTTGAAATGACAGTACGTAACAGTAAATCAAAGCTATCACGCATTACAGTCGTTTAGTTACTCATGAACAGATTTCATGTCTACCAATAACGAAGAAATATTTAAAACTATATTGCATTTGGATCAATGACACGTGTTTCAATGGGCCGGAATCTAAGTCAACCAAAACTGAATCGATTGTGCTGGTAATTTTATTATGTATTTAAGTAGTGCTTATATGTAAGTAGATCTCAATTTGGACGATGGTAATTCTATTTTCATTATCGCCGATGCCTAAAGTGTTGTGAGAATACTCATCGAAGGACATACTTAATCTTTTTGTCTCCCAATATTTCACTTACCCTGTTACAACTGATTATACCATATGAATAAATCGGTATGAGTGTCCCCCGTGTGATGTGGTCGCCCGTGGCGACGAAAGGCCAGTTGTCAGAGTTACGATGTCTCAGCGCTGATGGTGCCTGGCGTTACTGAAGAGGCGTGAGGTATCAATCATTTATTCGGGGGAGATAAAATATGAGTGTTCTGGGGCGTATTTTGGGAACAAGATGTGATATTTGCAGGTATTTGTTTTTATTTGTGCTGTTTTAATGTTTGCGGGAAATGAAAATACGCGCTTTCTACCAGTCAACATCATATAACTGAGAGAAAACTGAAATCAAGAAACAGAATTCCCATATGTATGGATGAAATTAAATAACCGTACACATAACATTGCTGATGCTAAAATAGTTGTAGAAATTAAAATTATTCATATCTGCCACTTGGGATGTTGTAAACGTCCAAATGCAAAACACAACTTGGTAGGGCTGTTTTGTGGCTTTTAACATGTGAGACGCTCTTGGTAAAAAACGGACTCCGCTGTGAAAAGCAATGAGTATGTCGTTTTCAATTTCAATTACTATATATTCGCAAGATGTCATACGGTTACAACCCGAGGTCGCTAGATGCCGACACTTTTGCTGCGTATCGTGTTTAAATTTGTAAGTCGCACACCAGGCGTAATTCAGATCCAGCGCCAACTGCGTTTTCCAGAAATACAAGACACATGTTACAACGTTGTGAAAATATGGAGCACAGGAATGGGTGAAGTAAGCTCGCGTGTGGTAGTATAAATAGTAGATAATCTAATAATATAATCCGGATGTGGATGATATGTGTATCTTGCATTACATGGAGCAGATATATATTATGTTTTCGAGTCGTAAATTCCAGCAATTACAACGTAAAACGGCCTCAAACTTAGTTCATTTTCAAAGACTGCCCCCGATATTTTCTCGCAACTTTTCTGCGCTTTTCAAGTATGTGATCAATCGAAGTCAGCGTAAAATAAATTCCTCGCGTAGGATTTTATTTAACCATTCAACTTATTTAAAAAAAAAAAACATTCACGCGTGTGGGACGTCCCACTGACACGCTAATACTGTTGTGGCAACATGATCGCCATCTTCCAGCTTCTTTATCGGTGTTCCGTGTCGGATGAATTACCGATTGCTTTTCTTGTACGTTGCGCCATTAAATCGTGCTATCACATTTGACAGGCATGTTAATACTCATTATAGCATGCTTGGGTCGCGTGTCGATTCCAATGTCAAAGGTCGGAGGAGTAACACACTGTGACTATGTGTGACGTTTTCGTGTCCAATATAAAACACATGATAAACATATCGATGAATTGTTATGTAATGTGATCAGTTAATTTACAAAGTCGTGAATGTGTAAGGTTTTTAGTTCAGTTTATTTAGGGTTGTCTTACAATGCCCCGAGACATTGACATGTATGTCCAGTTGTTGAATGTTGAGCCCAAGATTGTAACCTACTAATATAACCATATATCTAATAGATTACAATTGTAAAATAAACACAACTTAATTAATCCTTTGGACGCCGCCACGAATGAAACATGTTGGAGTGATAATACATGCGTTCTTTGTGATCCTCTGGCGGAACAAAACCATTGGTAAATTATTTCAATCGCACATCATTATAAATACGGCTATCCCATTTTTGTTCTGTTCATGCGCAGAAATGGACTCCCCGTTTTAAGCGACTGTTGTGGTTACGCTTGTTTAAAGTTAACAATATATGAAAGAAAAAATCGAAAGCGTTAAAAAGTTAAGAATTGATACCCGAGAAAACGAGGTAATGTGATCTTACGATGGCCCGATATTAGGGCCAAGGACACCACCAATTATTTAATCATGAACACTCTCCATCATTTGTGAGCATTCGATATCAATTAGTCTCCCTTTGCTAATTAGAATATTCTTTCAAATAATGCAGTGTAATTAATAGATAAGGATTTCAGTTAATCATTAGATGGCGAGTTGGAGGCACATTTCATTGATCGCCACATGATTGTAACAGGCGATCATCGCGTTTTCAATACTGAGAAATCTGCAATGGTCGTAAACTAATATGGTCAATTCGAAAGCAATTAAATGGTTGCCCGTTGGTGATATGAACAAGATACATCACATAAAATATCTTAGATAGTAACGGCAAAAGTAGTTCATATCGGTTTACAAAGCTTCACGGATTCCCTGAATATCTTGTCATCACTTCTGATTTCCACATTTACGTGTAACGAAATGTGTGTCGTCATTTTTTTTTCTTCTGTGTGTTATTCTAAATCCAGCGTCATTTTGGACAGATTGTTTGTTCAATCAGCTTTTAATAATCTAAGAACAAAATGTTGCACTGCTCAGAATTAGAAGTACGGTAAAATGCGACTTCCGTCACCACGTGACAGCACGAAATAAACCATCAATTGTGCCACTATTCTCGTAAATTGACTCTGTATATATTAATAATTCAACTATATAGGGTTAATTATTCTCTGTATATGCTTAGGAAGTGTTGGTGATATCTGGTGATTTGTTGCTGTTTTATCGATCGCGATAAGCATTTAACTTTCTGTAAATGCCCCGGATGGTGTGAAGAAATCAGCGTCATCGTTACAAATGTGTTGGCACGTACTATTACAATTCATAAACGAGTTAATTACTTCAAACGAAATAAATCTAATCGTTGGAAGTTATGTTTGATACAAAAAATCGGCAATACAGATTTACGTGTAGTATAATAACTATTTTTACGATCCTTAGAATTCAACTTATATAAGAGTCCCTAAATGATAGTAAATATTGATCTTTACGGCGTTGATATATTATAATGCCTTGTGCGAGACAAGTTCACATTTACAAACTGATTGATAAATTATATATATCGATTACATTTTACAATCTTATTATCCTGGCACCAGTTAAACACTAGTTAATTCCATATGTAATAACTAATTAATGTTTAAGGTAACTTAAAAACGCTATTTTTGTAGCACACGATTAAATATTCGATCGCTGAAACAATGCAATTTTCTATTCCGGAACTGCTCTGATTGTCTTTGTACATACACAGTGACTGCACGTTTCTATTATCCCTTTTATCGAACCAACATGTTGTGTATGTATGTGTATCTGTAACATATTTAGTACCCGATAGACCGTAATACAATTTACTCTTCAAGATGCAGTATCAAACGAAAACGAAACATGTTTCTGTCAATATTGCATCTTAACTATCAACCATGAATCCATTTCATGGATGCACAGCACATATATCATTAAATTCGTCTTCTTCATTATGTATACATAAAAACATGAATGGGTTTAATACATCGAGAAGATCTCACGAATGACCGGGTCATGGCTGTGATATACTGTTTATCATATATATTCGATTCTCAGCAAAACAGTAGGAATCGTATTTTGTTAGCGCAAATTAAAGGTATTGTGGGGCATTACCTCCACCGTTATTTCACCCCCTTTGATTTAAGGCATATGGTTATTCTTACAGCCATCTAATCTATTTACAGTTTTAGTGGATGGACTGGTAACATGATCACAAATTGTTAGTCAATTCAACAGCGGCCTTTTCAAAATTCTTTAGAAATGTCCACTAAACATGCATGAAACAAGCGGATAAATTGCGTTAGGGGAATTGTGCTTCAAGTCTACTAATCACAACAACATTTTTTAAGGTACCATGTAAAAACGCCGAAGTATAGGATAGTGGTGTATGTTCTTATGATCGTTGGCCATGGTGTTAAATGCAATCTGTTTGCAATTACCAATTAAATTATCGAGATCTGCTTCAGTGTTACACGGAACTGGCAAATGATATATTGGATGTATTTAATCTTTTTTTGACCTTCGGTCAAAGTTCACGACATGAAATAAATAACCTTCATTAATCTGTTGTATTATAGGTACAGTGGTTGCCGCCGATGGAGACACTGAAACGTAGTGATTGATATTTCGCCTTCAAAATCTGCGAGAAATGAACAAGATATGAATGTCTACGTGGACAACGGTATTTCCGGGAAGAACTATAGCATATACAATCCGCAAAGGGAAACATACATGGACCCTTCGCCGTTGACTTCAAACCAAAGTACCAATATTAGTAGCGATTCGATGGACCTCAATGGGCGAGATGAGTTCCTGGCCCGATTTGAGATCCTTGTACTAGGCTCAATTTTTTTTCTCGCGCTGCTCGGCAATGTGTGCGTGCTTATTACGCTCTGGCGAAAAAGGAGGACGTTGACACGCATGCACATTTTCATCATGCATCTTGCCATCGCTGATCTTGTTGCCGTTTTTCTTACGATTTTACCACAGTTTGTGTGGGATATCACGGATGAGTTCTTGGCTCCCGATTTCGTCTGCCGCGTGGTCAAGTACGGACAAGTCTTTGGTATGTATCTGCCCACGTATGTCCTCGTAATGACGGCGTTGGATCGTTACATGGCTATCTGCCACCCGATGTCCGGAATGAAGGGAACTCAGAAAAGAACACGTATGATGATTATATCAGCGTGGTTACTGTCTCTTCTATTTAGTATTCCGCAGGCGTTTATTTTCCATTTGGTTAAAACCCCAACATATTCAACTTGCAGATCACAATGGGCTATAGCGCCCCCAGCGGGCCCGCGGGCCTACATCACGTTCGTCACTATCATGGTTTATATACTACCAACCATTTTTCTTGCCTGGTCGTACGGCAGAATTTGGCGCGAAGTAGCAAAAAACGCCCAGCTCAAGTCTCAATGGGAAAGTAAAGCCTTCCGGGCTACATACGCTAATGGACATGCACACAGTTTTCCAAATGTCACGAGACGTACCAGCAGTAACGGAGATACTCAAACAAACGCCAGGGGCGTCCTCGTTCCCAGGACTCACTATGCGGGAAGGGGAATTACGAAAGCTAAAGTGACAATGGCTAAAATGACGTGCGTGATTGTTGTTGTCTATTTTACCTGTTGGACGCCATATTTCTGGGTACAAATGTGGAAGGCTTGGGATCCCGACGCAGACATAGAAAGTAAGGTCATTTATTTTGATTATTGTGATATTAATACTATTCTGTGATATTTATACTTCAAGAAGGATGTACTGGAAATAATACTCCCAAATTACATGAGACACATGGTTATTTAATTCTTACTTCGTGACTCTCAGCAGTTTTAAATGAGTTGCTGTGTTAGATTTATCGACTGAATATTTGATCTCATAGTTTTACGGATTAGTTGATGTACGATAATGCAATGATATCCATCCGGTGATTTTTACTGATAACGTTAAAACAAATCTTTATTTTGGTTTCAGACTTAGCATCCGTTATATTGGAACTGACGGCTAACATAAATTGCTGCACGAATCCTTGGATATATATGTCTTTCAGTGGCAATCTAATAAAGGAACTTCGCCGAATATGCTGCGGTCGAAAAATAAGCTTGTTTGGTCGGACGGGGACGAATTCCAGCGACAGGGACTATCGTTACGGATCATCAAGATTTTACAAATCGCCGGCAACGAGGAGTGCTTCATGTACAACTGCGTTGTCCGTCAGCCACAAGCCACCTGGCGCTAACTTTGCCTGTGATTTCCACCACCAATTTGGCGATGAGCGCCACGTGCTTTCGGTCTCGTCTGAGTCTGCGCAATCCAGAGCGCATGAATCCTCGTCCCAAGCTCGCGATTCGGTATCTTTACCGACTACACCGACAACCCCGGAACCAATACCCGCGCCGTCGGCGAACTCAAAGAAAGACCCCGAAAAGTCATATATGGAGATGTTTACATCTGTCTAAGCAGTTTGTCAATTTAAAAATAGCATCGCCTTATTTTGGAACTTTGTAAAGAAGTCCGTACGTATCCAAAAATGACGAGCCATGTCGTCATAATTTATGATAGCACATCAGCAATGACGTCATTTCACGGCAGTCGAGAATATCCAAGGATTCTGCTACGTTCGTACAGTAAACACGAACTGTATGATAACGTCTTATAAACTGTGAGAAGACCCGGTATGGCTTTCGAGCCCCACACAACGTCAGGTGATGTCACCGAATCAATAGAGGTTACGTATTTGATGTTACTCGACAAGGTCTCTTGAGCGAGAAGTTCCTCACGTAATACCTATAGAATCGCTCGAGCTTCGCCTACACAGCGGCCCCTATACCTGAGCAACGACGTTCGAAATGGCGTGAGTGAAACACCTTTGTAGACAATTTTCGTGGAGTCGAAGCTTCCGCGCGCAACGTGCATGACGTGGTGGTCGCCGTCATTCTTGGCTTGATATCTTCTCCAGCTTTACCGACGACGCGTGCGTTAATAAATAACGACAGTGGACGCAACACATGTGATTGTGGCCGGATATACACAGTAACCCGATGGATTCGCTGTTTGCGAAAATAACATACAAGGCAACTAATATGGTAATGAAACAAACGAAAGATGCATACCTAACTGGTAGCAAGCTACTATACAAGTTTACATTGTGTATACGTTTACAGGATATGTACACTCTACACGGGTACAGATTAACTTTGCAGCAAAAGATGCCTAGACGAAAATTCTCTTCACAACATTATTCAGTGCAGATTACATTACTTACTAAAATTTGTATGAGCATAATCCATATATATATATATATATATATATATATATATATATAAGCGAAAATTTCGCTTAAACAATCTTTAAAACAGGGGAGTCGTCACCTACACATGCGTCAGATGGCCGTAGCGTGTCATTGTTTGCAAACACGCGTCTACCCATGAGCTTTTGCGTTTAGCGTGTGTTGTTACCAATTCCCACGCGTGCGAAGGTGACGACCCTCCCGCTTTAATAAAATTATTAAAAAAAATCACGCAAAAATAATATATTTGCACACGTTATTTTTTGTTTTTTAAAAAAAAAAAAAAAAAAAAAAAAACACAACACCGACATGAATATAGTGCACATAATTGCTGACTTATCAGCAGAAATAACTGTCCAGCCTTTTTTAATCGGATGTCACTCTCGTGACAATAGTTTGCAATAATTCGGTTATAGCGCAACAGACGTTGCGTAGCGCGGCCGTGTTCTGCCCGGTAATCATGTCACGCATAAAACGCGTGTAAACACGTTGTTTGTTTACATCATATTCAAATGCGCTCCTCGGGACGTCAGTGTCGCTTCAGTATTTAAATATTCTGAATGCTTGCATAGATGTCTTGCCTTTATATATATATTACATATTTACGCGTTAAGCCCAATTAAAATATATATATTGTAATATGTATATATATAATATTATGTGTAGGATAAATTTGTATATTTTATAAATAGATACACTTACATGAATCTAGCTTTAATCTCTATGCACTGCATACAATTTTCACGACACCAGGCAAGATGAATATTGTGACAGACTGATTGGGATGACAGTGAGTCAATCAGTGTTAATTAGTAATCGTACAATTATAAAATATATTGTAGTTTTCTCAGTGAATTAGCAGTATCTTAATATTCTAAGATTCACTCCATTTTTCATTAGATTACACAATTCCCGTTCTCGTTGTCTAAATTGGCTTAAACTTAGTGTGGTGAGATTTAATAGTATCCTTATATTATAATATATTATACGTTGGAAACGTACATACTGAGTTGTCTTATCAGAAATACAATGAGCATTAAAAGACAAATTTGCTCAATAACTATTATTTAGGTCCAGGCCTGCTAAATTGAAATAAACCTCAGGGTTTTGCCAAAATGATAAACTCAACTGGCTAATTTTACAATGTTTTAAATTTTAATTGTGTGTTATATACGTCACTGGTTTTATGTATATATATATATATAGGTAAGCTCAACTTTAATTTGACGGGTCATTATTTTGAATGTGTGCTAAATTTACCCCTGTTACGGAACCGGTAACTCATAATCCTATAATTTATTAATCCCGACCGAATTGGTACAACTAAACGATCACACAGACTAAGCAACACTCAATCTCGGGCGAAATATTGAACCAAATTTA